TATTCCTTAATGAGACGTAGTTAATTAATTTGCTTTACTTCTATAATTTGACCATGGAATCATTACTTCCCACCAAGCATAATCTTAATGATTATTCCGAGGTAAAGTCCCACGAAAAAAAAAAACATAAAAGCTGTATGTTATTTTTTTATTATCTTAATTATATAATGAGAAATAATTATTTCTCATTATTTATCTCATCACATATCTTATTTTACTCACGTGTCATACAACTGAAACTTAAAATTTTTTATTTTTAATAATTTTATTTTACTCACGTGTCATGCAACTAAAACTTAAAATTTTTTATTTTTAATAATCTTATTTTACTCATGTGCCATGTAACTGAAACTTAAAATTTTTTATTTTTAATAAAAAGAGACGACTATTAACTATTTAGTTCATAGACAAACTTGTACATCAATTGATATGTAGAAAACCCATAAATTTAATGGTTAGCGATGCATACCAAATCTAGTTACAGAAATATAATTTACAACCTCTTGATGTTTGTTGAGATGCCGAAGTAGATTGTAAAGACTGGCATGCATGATATAGATTGTCAGCCTTTTCTTTTTCGAGTCTCTTCTCTCAATTCCTCGAAGCTCCAATCTCTCCTCATTCCGCTGCTCCGCACCAACCTAGGCTCAACGTCTGTTTCAAACGACAAAGTTCCCGTGCTATTTAACCGGCGGTGACTACTCTTCATCAACAACTTTTTCTTCGCTGGGGGCATTAGAGACCCGCTTCTGAACGGTGGTGGGCTAAGATTCCCCGACCAGTTCCTCAAACAACACGTGATCTCGGGTCGGAAATGAGGTTTTTGATGATTGACTTGACCACAGTCTCCATCGTTGTAGGAATTTGTTCTTTGCAGGACCTGGCAGGTCAGGCAATTCAGGCTCATCTTTGTCTTGGATGAAGAGCAGTTTTCCGGGCAGGGTAGAGAGAAATTAATGTAGGGATTGGAATTAATTCGGGATGATTGCGTTGAGGTTATGGCCATGGCCGGGGGTTGATAACAAGAAAAAATTAACAAATTGGATAAAGAGTTATGTCCTCTGCAACTGAATGTTTAATTTAGAACTTTTTTAGTCGAATAAAAATCTTCGGAAACAAACCAAACCAATTCTAAAATTAGGTTTCAATGTAGATTTCCATATGTTTTTTGGACAAGTTTAGAAGAAAATTCAAAACAAAGTTTTATATTAGATGACCCAATAACTTGAGTTTTTTATTTTTTATGTATAATCAAAATGTTTCCAAATCAGTTTTTATACATCTATGAATTTTTTTTTTTTTTGAATGGTTTTAAAGATATACCCACTATTTCTTATATATTGTCCTCAATATTTAAACTTTAAACTTAATTATACGATGACACTTATAATTAAATAACACTTATTATTAATAAGTCCACCCTTGGGTTGAAACATCTTTCAATGCTATGAGTTAAACATAAGACATCAAGCATTTATCCTATTCTTACATTTACTTGGTATATATTCTAATTTCTACCTTATCCTGTTCACCCGGAAAAGACAAAAAAAAAAAAAAAGTGCAAGCGCAAGGTTCAGAAAGAACGAAAGATGATAATAACAGTTCTTCTAAATCGAGCAACAAAATGGCTTGCCATAAGTTCTTACGAAATTCGGTATTGAACCCATATCTATACCACATTCATTTCACAGTACTTGGAAACAACAACTTAAGGTTTTTTTCTTGCATCTGCTTTCCAGTCTCTTCGACCAGGCTTAGTGTTGGTTACCTCGAAATTACCAAGGCTACAGGAATTGTCAGAATGCAATTCCCCTTCAAGCATCCCATCCACCTTCATTCCAGAGGATGGGCATAGTATTTGGCTTTCAGCTGTGATCATAATAGCAGGCTGGACAGAAACATTGGATGTGTCTTCTTGACCCCTACTTATGTGAGCCCTTCTTGCATCTTTCTTCCAAGCTCGTTTACAATGGACACGTTTCAGGCAGTTGTTAACAATCTCATTGTGTTGCAAACTCACTTGCTGTACAGTTGATTGGTTTAGGACATGGGACTTCTGAATAACTGCTTCAAGACGCCTCCTGGCTCTATATTTACGCTGCCGTTCTCGGTTTTTCAAGCGGCGATTCATTATGTCATCATAGGTTTTAGCATCTGTCTTAATCATGAGAGAACATTGTATCCCCATCTGATTCATGTTCATCCCGTCTTCCATTTCAAACAATGGCCAGCACATGTACAAGTTGAATTAATTGTAGGGGGAATCTAACAAAGGACTAACATACTAGCCTCTGGCTTGTTGGGATATGCTCCAAATTTCTTGCAGTAAGATCAATGAAACATCCACTTGGCTACCATCACCCAGTCCATTTCAGCTCTCACCATCTGATTGGGATCTGTACAACCAACAGCAACAACAGTTCTGAAGTTCAGATAAACTAAATTATTGTAGAAAATTATATACATTACAATACAGCTTTATGCTTGGTGAGGAAAGGGTGCAAAGAAAAATTTATTGATTCATGTCCATTCAAGGTACAAGAAAAAGTGTATGCTAAAGTGCACATAAAGAGTTGGAGAAGCATGCAAAGCTAGACTATAGACCCTAAAAAAGGAAGAGAATGGATTTTCCATTCTGCTTTCCCTCACCTCATAACCTCCTACTGATGGTTACAGATTGTTAGGTGTGAATCTCAAGCAAAAGAATGGGAGAAAAGAAAGAAAAAGCTTAATAGTACACATGCTTGGGGCTCAGTAGCTTATAGGCCACCATGTTTTGTTCACGGATGTAACTTTCTGACGTGCATACATAGGAAAAGGGCCTAATGTTCTGTCAGGGCAATAGCTTTGAAACAAATAGTCTTCTGCTCCAGATCTTACTGTTGTCATATAAAAATGCCACATATATAACAAAGATAAATGGGCTAATGCTCTGAGCATGGATTCTACAGTAAACTTCATATGTTTCATTTAGGTAGGCAATTTATGCTCAAATTCCTTGTACAGTTACAAAAGTTTGTTTCAACTGCTACCAAATAATGACAGAAATGTCTGTTTTCTAATGTCTACATAAAAAATGACTACCCTTAGAACAATAACCGACATAATGAACATCTATAAAATTAGAGATCAGAGGGATTACAAACTGACTGCGAGAATCCTACGATTCTCGAAATGTGGATTTTCATATCAGGCAGTCATAGAATCAACCATGAATTTTGTGTAGGGACACTTTTTGAATACCAACCAATTTAGCCTCTAAACATCAACCCTCAAAAATCTAACAGATGTTTGACTAAATTGTTTCTATACCTTCACTAGAAAGGAAAATTATTCACACAAAATGCTTTTCTTACAATGAAATCTTACAATCCAAGGTGACAATACGAAACTTACCCTCCAAAATTTGCAATCATGTTTTGTTTCTCAAGCCTTTAATAAGATTTTAAAATTCAACAGTTTGACGTCAATACGATTGTATCACACCACACATCTTCATCTCTTTGGTGTCAAGAAAAACTAAACTACCCATGGAAAGCAGAAAAAACCCAAATATCAAAAAAAGCTCAATAGAAATTAGCAGACATCTTCCATGATATTGGTTGATAATCTGAGAGAATCTATAATTTCAGGGTCTCAGAATATCAAAGCAAGCATCTTTCTTCGAAAATAAAAGTACCC